GCTGCTTTTATGGAGAAGGTTATGATTTGCTGACTAGGATTATCCTATTTGTGTGCATGTGTCACTTTTAGACTCATGACGAATATTGACTCTGTAGCTGTATTTCAAATGTAGTTACACCTGGGTAACACCCACTAGACAAGATGCTTTCAGTCTAGATAGTGGGTGGGGAAAGGTCTATTCAGGGCAATGGGCCATTAGGAAGAAAAGACCTTAGGAGAAGCTCATTCCTCACCTGGTGATGAGCCTTCCCGAGAACACTCCAAACAGCCTGTGAGTGATGGCTGCTCCGACTCTATAAGGACATGTGACTAGGTCACATGATGCTGGACTCCATCTTGGGATGGCAGTATTAGTCCACTGACTGGTCTGGGAACCAAGCTTTGGAACAAAGGGTTCCTGACATATGCTAAAGCTAGATAAGGCAGGGAGTGACATCATTTGGGGTGCTTCACGCCCCACACAAGAGGGCTCCAGGGAACACCTGAGGAACAAAGTCTGAATTGGGGGAAGTGCTGGACCCAGGCTAAAGGGATTTCCAGCCTGTGTATGAAACACCTGGGGGTTCCACGCTGCAAAGCAATTGTAGCTTGTGCCTCAAGAATCTACAAGTCTGCCCATACCATCAGTTTGGATATGAATTAGCAGAGTCTCCCCCTATCTATTTAGTATTGTAACAGGGTCACACTCACCTCTCATGAGCACCCCCTGGCTGAGTGCATGATCTCTGTGGTGGGTCTTCAGTGACTCAGCCCTCCGGCCAAGTTATACACAGTCTGTCTGTGAGATAAAAGCAGCACAAAGCCCTTTCAGGGTACAAGTCCAACAGGGGCCTCTCTCGGTGCCCTCTGTAATGTCTCTGTTTGTCCAGTGCCCCAGAACTCCTTCCCCGGAGGCAGCGTCTTCGCCCTCTCAGGACCTTTCGGGCCCCAGCTCTTCAGCTGGGCCACTACAGGTCAGTTCTGGAAGCTGCGAGGGGAAGGGGGCTGCAGCGGGAGGGGGCTGCTGCAGTGGGAGGGGGCTGCAGTCTCTGCCTGGGACGAGGGAGGTCCTCCAGAGGCGGGAGTCCAGGGGGAGACCAAGCCCTGACAGGCTGCCCTGGAGCAAGGAGTCAGCCAGAGGCTGGGAGGGGCGAGGGAGCCCCGGGGAGCAGAGCAGCTCCCATGACGGAGAGGCTGGTAGGAGGCAGTCCAGGGAAACAGCAACAGGGATGGGGCCGGAGCAGACCTGGGCTGCTCGTTGTAGGGTCCCTGGGCTGGAAGCCGGGGTAGCGGGTGGGCCCGGGCTCCCCTGCCGGCCGCGGAGATAGTGGGCCAGAGCCCGAGGAGGGGCTGAGCAACGTCTGGAGACGGCCTTTGGCAGGGGTGCTGCTGGACTCCGTTACCCTGAAGGGATGGGCTAAATGGTGCACTGGCCGGAGGGCCGCGGGCCCGGGAGAAAGGCGCTTGCAGCGTGAGCGGGGAGGGGTTCCCTGGTACGGTGCGAGCGACGTTCCCGACTGAGCTGTGCTAGCAGCGAGTGGGACCCCTGCTGCAGGGCCAATGACCCCCCCCACTCTCCATTCCCTGCCTCCCCATGAACAAAGGCTGCGAAGCACATGCCAAGTAG